ATTTTTAGCATATGGGTGGTATAATCCCCACCTAAGACTTTTTCATGAGTCCGTGTTGGTTCAGGTTAGTCAGGTAAAAAATTAAAATAAAATTAAATAAAAATAGGAATGTGGCAATAAAGTATTTGAGGCCAAAATTCCTTTATTATGACAATATAAGAACTATTAAAACAGATTCTAAACGCGTTTCGCCCACAACAGGCTTCTTCTGCCAGAGGATATCTAAATATTCAGATAGATTTGATAAAATGGAATTTATCCCTGGTAGGCCTATTGTATCAGGGATAAATTCCATTTTATCAAATCTATCCGAATATTTAGATATCCTCTTACAACCCTCTGTCAAATGTATGAAATCGTACTTAAAAGATTCCATGACTTTACTCCATTTTTAAAATAATTTTATTTGGAAATACACTTATTTTTTAGTTACTTGTGACGTACAATCGTTGTATACTATTATCCCTCATGATAAAGGCTGCCCCGCTGTGTAAAAAACTCTAAGGGCAGAAAACAGAATCCCAGACCAACAGATTAGTTTTATAATAGAAGGTATTAGCATTATTTTAAAAAATAACTACTTCTGGTTTTTAGATTCTTTTTATTTACAGAAACAAGGTACTGATATGGGGACCAGGTTTGTGCCCAGTTATGCCAACCTCTTTATGGCAGAGTGGGAAGCTACAGCCATTTTTGGGGAGCATGACTGGAAAACAAGCCTGGTCACATATTTTAGATATATCGACGATATGTTTTTTATCTGGGAAGGTACAGAAAGTTCTCTTAATCAGTTTTTTTTTTTTTTTTTAAATCAAAACAATAATGGTATAGTTTTAACACATGAATACAGCCAATCCGCTATACACTTCTTAGATCTAGAAATTTTTATTCAAGACAATGAGGTTCATACCAAAACTTTTTTTTAAAAAAGTCTGCACAAATAATGTAATTGATATATCCAGCTGTCACTATAAACCGTGGCTACATGGAATACCCAAAAGTCAGTTCCTCCATCTGCGAAGGAACTGTTCTCTTACCCAAGACTTTGAAGACCAATCCCATACGCTATTATGTCAATTTTCACAAAAAAACTATCCTACTAATAACTTAAATCAAGCCATTAAAAATGTTAGAGAAAAAGATAGATTAGATCTCTTAGAATATCAAGATAATAAAACCTCTAAGAATGCTCCATCATTGCCAATTATTTTCGACTTCAATAACAAAAATAATGTTATGAAGAAGATTATTAAGAAACATTGGCATATATTAAAACAGGATGAGATTCTAGCTGGCATTGTCCCCGAAAAACCACAAGTTATATTCAGAGGGGCAGCTAGCTTCAAATCCATCCTTACAAAGAACTATACCAAACAGAATCAAACTACCTTTTCATTTTGCCCCCCACCCCCCTTTTCTTAATAAGCCCAAAGGTTTTTTTAAATGCAATAAATGCATAGTATGCAAACATAGACGAGAATATTAAATAAAAAACTACCTCCTTTAAGTCATCCATTACTAAAAGAACATACCCTATAAAAGACTTTATCCATTGTAGTTCTAAAAACGTAATTTATTTATTAGAATGCCCATGTGGACTTCAATACGTGGGCATGACCACCAGAGAATTAAAAATTAGATTGGCAGAACATTGCTGAAATATTCGAAAAGGTTATGAGAACCATTCAGTATCTAAACACTTCTTAATACATGGCAAAAATCCTAAACTTTTGAAATGCATAGATATAGATACTTGTAACATCCCTTGGAGAGGTGGAGGTATAAAAAATATTTTAGGTAGTAAAGAAATGGAATGGGCATTTAATTTAAAAACCCTTACCCCTCAAGGTCTCAATATAGACTTTGATCTTTTTAATTTTTTATAATAATTTTTTATAAAAAAAAATTTATAATAATTTTTTATAATTTTTTTATATTCAATTTAATCTTTCTTTAATTGACAGCCAATAACAATAGATTACTGGGCCTCCACAGAGTGTGTATAGTGGATGCAGAGTGTGTGTGTAGTGGATGCAACATTTGTGTGAGTAAAGTGGATGTAGTGGGTGTGTAAGTATAATTGTGTTCTGTTGGGAGTAAGAATAAGAATATATATTTTTTAATTTTCCATTTGTTTACATTTTGTTTTATTCACCCTCCTTGCCTTTAATCTGTGTCCAGAGAGGGAGGACATTACATTCCCTGGTAGTTAGGTGGCACAATTGCTGCAAGCAGCAACGATTTGACAACCAGAGCCATGTGCGTCTGAGTACCCCCAAGTAAGACGTTATACTGCTAGCTATGCAGTAGTTATGGTTATGGATGTCATGAAATGCTTTATTGCGACATGTTATAGGACAATGATGGCGAACCTGTGGCACGCCAGGCCCTTTCTGTGGGCACGAGAGCATAGGTTCGCCATCAATGCAGAGTAGGCACCTGCCTGCCCAAAACGGCAGGCGTCTACTCTGCTTCTGGGTCGGGAGGCAGGGGGAGGGATCTGTGAAGCAGCTCCCCTGTCCTTCCGTACGATGCTGTCCACACAGCATCGCGAGGGAGGACAGGGGAGCTGCTTCACAGATCCCTCCCCCTGCCTCCCGACCCAGAAGCAGTACTTACCACCACCGGACGGCCAGGGATGGCTTTGTCCCCCCCACCCCTTCATTAAAGGTAAGCAGGAGGGAGGAGGGATACAGATTTAGCATAACTTTTTTTTTTTTTAACCACCCCCTCCCCCCACACACCTTGCACCATGGCCACTAACACCTTGCCCCCACACACCTTGCCCCCTTCCCCCATTGTAAGGAAACAAACTATTTTTGAACATTTAGACTTTTTACCTGGGGTCCACCGGGTACAGCTCTTATTCTCCACTACCAATGCCAGAGAGCAGGAAACTCCTAAGCAGCCAATGCAGAGCTTAGCTCAGGAGAGCTAAAGGAAGTCCATTCCAGCCCTTTAACCTTCAAAAATGGTATGACAATACAATGGGAGGGCGCCAGGACACTGTTAGCAGTTATGTAGTGGTTATGGTGCTTGGAGTGTTAATTTCAAAACAGATTGGAGTTCTATATAAACAGTCATGTTCCACTTTCATAGGTGTCAGGATGCTGTACCCAAATAGACAGAGCTGAGGATAGTAGATTGGGGGAATAAACATATAATTGAACCTTTGAATGGTACAATGATTTCATTTACAAAAGGAGTGAACAACAGTCGAGGTGAGGGTTACAGAAATATAGGATATACAGATAAACTAGCAATGGTCAGTTACAGTATAATGGACATACTAGCCAAAATGAAAACCAGAAAATCAGAGAATATAAAAAATAACGTGCTGATTGGAAACAGAGACAGAAACCATGACAGAACAAAGGACGCTGGGCCAAAATGTTTTAATTACAGTTAGGCTTGCAATGATTGGTTCATTCCTCCGACCCCAAAATGTGCGCGGAACGAGGTTGCTAGCGTGACGTGGTTATTTGTGCACCTGAAGTGACAAAACATGCATTACTTCTATTAATGGCCACAATCCGCCTACAGAGAACAAGATTACCTGTCCAACACGCGTTGCATGCAGGAGTCGGGCAGGTCTCATGAAAGAAGAATCATGATAGACTGCATAAGGCTTCTAACCTCGAGATCTGAAATCAGGATACTCTGTAACAGATGCTTATTCTTCAGCTCAGTGAAAGTCTAAACTTACTTTTAGCTGTAAACAATAGTGTTCCAGGAAATCCTTAACTACACTCCAGGGCATTGTTTCTCAAACCACTGCTCAGGGACCAATAATGGACAAGTTTTATCTGCATCCTTATTTGAACACAATCTCTACATCCTGAAATGATGGTGGTCCTAGCTTCTGAGAAGAAAATTATTATCATCATTTATACAACACAGTTTTACAATATTAAAAAGGGGAAATAAAACAGAAAATTATTTACAAACACAATAATGTCAACAGAACTTAGAATTGAAGAGGGTCTATTAAAATGAGCTTACAATCTAAGAAGCCAATATAAGGACTGGCAGAGAGAACAGATGTGAGAGTAGCCATAAGTAAGGAAGACAAGCCTTGAAGCAGCATTCATTACAGATTGAAGTATGGCATGGGTATTGGTAACACATTCTCACATTTTCTGACAAAGACACACAAGGACAGTTCACACTCACAAATTGAAATTTTTAATTTTAATTCACCCAACCCTACCTGTGGGAGAGCTGAGTGGATCTTTCCCTGGGGTCCACTGGGGCTGCTCTCATCCTGCATGTGAGGGAGCAGTAATCTACCTGCAGCTCCTTTATGTTCTCTGTAGTAATTCTGGGGCCAGAATGATGTCATATTCCATATATCACCATATAGCGCAAGGGAGCATAGAGGAGCTGAAGGAAGATTACTGCTCCCTCGCGCGCTGCCCCAGCTTGCCGCCTCCATGCAGCCCAGGGTGGTCAGCTACGTGCTCCCCGAGCCGGTTGCCTCCATGCAGCCCAGGTTGGTCGGCTACATGCACCCCCAGCCGGCCTCCTCCATGCAGCCCAGGATGGTCGGCTACATGCTCCCTGAGCTGGTTGCCTCCATGCTTCCCAGGGCAACCCCATCCGGCTACTCTAGCTAAAAGGTTGCAAATCCCAGGTGACAGGGCGAAATTCCTAGTCGCCATGGCGGCCTGGGATTTGTCGAGCCCTGCTATAACGCATGCGGATCTGACTGATCCCGACCATAAGGACAGTCCAGATCAAAACGTTCCCTCTTCAAAAGATGTTCAGCAACCCCAGACAACCGTTTCGGCGTTCTTTGAACACTCTATGGTAAGAACTGGACAGGTCCTTATTAAATCTCTTTCATGACTATTTAAATACTTTCCATTTAATTATTTTTCTCACAAATTGCAATACAACTACTTCTTGTTTTGATAAAGTAAAACTTTGCCTTTGTACTCTCCTTTTCTTATTTTGAAGTTCTTTTCATATGGCTTCTTATTCCTTCTCTGCTTGAATTGCTGTCATCTACCATGGTCTGGCTCTGCACTTTGTTGATAATTTTTCTGCTGAAATTTCCCCACTTCCTTTATTCTGACATTCCATCCCTTGTCCTTGGCAACTTCAATATCCCAACTATCCATGCTTTGAGCTTAGTACCACTTAATCCAAAGGTCATTACTTTTTAATTTTTCTTGACCTCTGTGCTGCATTTGGCACTTGACCACACACTCCTTCAAACCCTTTACAACCTTGGCCTTCATTACACTATCCTTTCCTGTTCATTTCCCTACCCAAACGTGTTTAGTGTCTTTTTTTTTTTTTTTTTGGCATAACATCCTTGCTACCCGTTCATGCCTTCAATTATTTTCTCTTTAGATCTGTTCTTAGAAACGTTATTAGTTACTTTGGATTTCATATATATGCTGCGAACACCCAGAAAAACATCTTCTTCAGTGATCTCTCTTATACCATTTAATGTCACTAACTAGTTTTTATCGGTCTTCAAACTCAATGTTCTAAAAACCGAGCTTCTTATATTTTCACTTTCAGATACTACCCGTTGTTACTCTTCCTGCAGTTCAATGTCACTCTTACCCCCTCAAAGATTGCTGTCTTTTTAACTCTGGTCACATATTTTCTGCTCACATCCAGTTTATATCCAAATTCTGTAATGTTTACATAATTTTTCCCTTTCTAACTCAAAATGTAAATAACACACATGTTCATTCATGTTTCCCGTCTCTAGTTCCTGCAATTCACGCCTTATCTTACTAATGCCCACAAAGCCCTAGTTCAGTTTGTAATGAATTCTGTTTCCAGGCTTGTCTTCCTTACTCATGGCTCCTCTCACATGTGATCTCTCTGCCAATCCTTACATTGGCTTCCTATAGCTTACAGTATCCACACAGCTTTCAGGGTAATTCCTATCTTTATTTTGGTCAACATACCATAACTAGTGCCTCCACAGCCCCTTTATTCCTTCATCTGTGCCTGTCAGAGAGTGTGCGTCTGTTTAGGTACCTGCCCCCCTCCAATCACATAAGGGTGTTTTTACTCCACTTTTCCCCGCGCCGTACCGATTTGCCGCAGCTTGTCCTGCCTCCATGGTTGAGCTCATCAATCTTTATGATCTCAGCTAAACCAATACTTTCCCATAAGAATGCATTGGGAGGATATTGCGAATATTCTCTATGAGTAACATTCAGCACCTCCATGCAGAGCGTCGAGATGCTGAACAAAGGTACTGCACACAGCCACTCACTAGTGGCCGTCTGATTGACTGTCACTAGAGGTGTGACTAGGCAGCAATGTGAACACTGTCTTTTCTCTGAAAAGGCAGAGATTACATTGAAATGGATACAGGGACAGGTTACAGGCACCAGAACAACTGCATTAAGCTGCAGTGGTTCTTGTGACTATAGTGTCCCTTTAAGAATTGTATATTTCTCATTGTAAATTAAACTTCACAAGTTTCTAAAAAATACAAAAAAACTGTCTCCTAACTTTATCTGGCCCCTAGATTCCAAGAAAATTTGTCAAGCCCTGAGGTGTAGGTTCACACTAATGGCACAAGTCAGCATAGAGGGAGGAGGGAAGGCAAACTACATTGTTTCTTCTTCTCCAATGCAATTTGCACGATGGCTGTGCCAGGACTAAACTGGGCTTATGATGTAAATTGCCAATATATCAATAATATATATTGAGAAAAAAAAGGTTAGCATAGTTATAGGCAATTTTGGTTGGCAAAGTGTGATAGCTGAATGTGATTACGCGTAAAGCTATCCAAGCGTGATAGTGTATGGAGTTGTTTCCATGTGATCGTTTGTAGAGTTGGCCGAGTATGATTGTGTGTGGGAGTGTAAAAGATTATTATTAACCCCATAAGGACGGCGGGCGTGTTATGCCGTCCTTGGGGACCCAGCTCTAAACGTTGGTGGGCGGCATACACGTCCCCGCCGTCCTATGTACTTACCTGCTAGTCGGCGATCCCACGCCGGCAATCGCAGTGGGGGGACTCACCTGGCATCCCAGGGAGTCCCCCTGCTGCTGTTCCGGCCCTCCTGGACCATGTGAGTGCGAGGTCCTTGCGAGGAATAAACACTGGACAAAATTGGCGTTCAAATTAGTTTTTTGCATTTTTCACACACAAACAAATATAAACACTAACTTTGGCCAGTTTTTGTGACCAAGTGGCTACTAAAAAAGACTGGACATACCCCATTTGCAATACCTTGGGTTGTCTACTATTGCAAATGGTATGCCATCATGTGGGTAATTCTCATTCCTGGGCTAGCATATGGTCTCAAAGGCAACGTAACCAACCTGGCAGATTTCAATGTGAAAAAACTGAAAATCTTTAACGAGCTATATTTGACCCTGTAACTTCCCAAAACACCATAAAACCTGTACATAGGGGGTACTGTTTTACACGTAAGACGTCGCTGAATACAAATATGTGTATTTTATTGCAGTAAAAGCAAACAGTATTATGACATTCACAGTTAAAATGTCATGTAGAACTAAAAAAATAACATTTCTTATTTTCTCCCATTTTTTTTTATATTTTATTCATATTAAATTATGTTTCATATCTAAATATTTGATGTTAACTGAAAGCCCTGTTACCCCTGAATAAAATTATATATAATAAGTGTGGGTGCACTTAATATGAAAGAGGTGAATTACGGTTGAGCAGACATATAGTCAAATTCCAGGTTTTGTTTAAGTTTTGTTTTGATCACAACGTGTACATTTGGTTCACTCCTTAAGGGGTTAAGCCACCCCCCATTTTTGCAGATAGGCAGAAATGTAATCCCTGGTGATCCAGTGGGTGTTGAAACTCCAGGGCCCATTTGTCATAGCTAATGTTGTGATCCTGGTAGTTTCAACACTGATCCCAGGGATCATTTCCTATATTTACAGCACCAAGTAAATCCAAAAATAAAAGCTCTAGGACTGTATCCGATTTCAATAATGACTTTTACTGTTCATGTAGTCGGGTAGAATGAACCAGAGAATACTTTCTATTCTAGATGTAAACCAAACAACTCTGTCTTTCCTTATGTTGAGATCATAAGAAGTAATTTTAAAGGCGCCTCACTTGCAATTTCTTGGAAACTTTCAATAGCATTTTCAGAAGAAGAAAACAAAACAGGCATTCAAAATCACAACAGACTGCAAGAACTGGTTCCACTGGCGAGTATGCCATTGACCATATCCAGATATCTCTGTTAGAATTTACAATCACCCAGACCGCAAAATCATGGGAAATGTTTGTGGTCGCGGTTTTACAATATATTGTGTGATAAGGTAAAACACAAGCCCTTACATTTTCATCCTGAACACAAAAAAGGTTCATTAATGCAGAGTAACTTGGCAGTATTGACATAGCTAATGCTCAAGGCATAACACTGCTTCACAGAAATAAACAAAATGGACTTAAATGTAATGTTCTCTTGCAAAATGCTCTATTTCTGGACAGAAAGAACTTGTAAATGCATTGTAATGTACTCCTTAATGGTGGAAAAATATGTTTTCATACAATCATCCAATTTGAAGTACTTTTATAAGAGAACAGCAGATTAAGTATACACAAAGTGAAAATTAAAAAAATAAAAATAAATTAAAAACCTCCAGTACCCAATCTGGTTAGAAAAGTTTTCCAGCAAAAAGGTTAAACACATTTTAGAACGAAGACAACTATGAACAGAGCAGCAACAAAAAACACAAATATGACCAATGGATAGTTTTATTGTTGTACATTTGTTGCAATATCCTATTACTTTTTTTAAAAGCCCTGGGTAAATACATGAAAGAACTCAATACAAGCCAACTGAAACACACCTATTGGTGCCAATTCCTGCAGCATTATACAGGCTCTTCATACACATTCACACATCTTCAATCAAGAGAACATGCAGCGCATACAATCATTTTCTTTCTCTTTGAACAGTTGGAACAAATGTTCATGTTTTGGGGGATGCGTCCTTAAGTAGAATGTCTCCACCTTCATCTTAGCACAGATAAAGTACCTACTGTTTTTAATCTGAAGTATGGCATTGCACTCTATGCCCTAGCTATGTCAGCAAGTCACTGTTGTATGATCACAAGGAGCTCCGTCGGGGAATGTGACTCCATTGCCCTTTCTGTGTAAGGATCTATTATAGTAAACAATTGCTTCCTGTACTGTGAGGTCTTGTAAATGCTTCCCAGTCCACTCCAGCAAAGAAAGGATGAGATTTAATGTCTTCTACACCTGACACTCCAGCGCCAAGTCTCTCCAAAGGGTTAAACTGCAAAAGCTGAAAGAAAAATTAAATTTTAATTCCCCTAAGTGAAGCATCCATTGACTTAATATCGTCTGAGTATGACATCATATTTTGTGGTAGTACACAGTCGCTCAAGTCTAAGACACAGAGATAAAAATGATCATATATGAGCCCCTTTAGCATCATGCCTCTCTGCTGTCCTAGGATACTGGTGGCTCTTCCCCCGTACCTGCACTTCGTACCACATACAATATCTTTTCTAAAGGACCTCTGTTTATCAGGGTTTACGAGACACTTGCATGATCACTGTAAATATTAGCAGACACTGCTGATAGGCTAAGGTCTACCGTACGTAAGACCGTGTATGTGGAGACGATCTCCTGGAACCTTCACTAATACCAGGGAAACGGAAAGCAAGAAGTTAGTTGTGATGTATTTTTATAACAACAAACAGTAAAGAGGCAAAGGTGATCGCAAATGGCATTTCAATCTGATTATTTATAAGTATAATGCTGATGCTATACAGGGTTCTATAGTTTACCTTAAAATTAAATTACACAAAATGCAAAGTTGCATATATGGGAAAAAAAAAAACTACATTTCACAAAGATTATAAAAAATATGTTAAAATATATATTTTCTCTATAATAGTTACATATATTAAACAAATCAATAAATTCATATATTTGTAGGCAATACAAGAATAACTAACGGCCTCCCTTCTAAGTAAATTACACTATCCATTTATCTCCATTTGTCACCAAAATCAAAAGAACTTTCCAATGATCAGGACAGACTGACAGCTCAGAAATCACTGCATGGACCGCCATGTATTTTCCCTGCTGTAAAGCCAGACATTCCCTCTGGACCTGTCTGTGACATTAGTGAACCTCTTTGTGGGTGGAAAAGGAAAAGCAAAACAGACAAAATGCTACCATGCTAGTTGACCCCCTTCCTTTTCCTGCCAAGGGCTTCCTGAAAGTCACGACTGCTGGCTTCCTTCAGTAATCAAATGAAACAAATATGATTTCAAGCAAGCCCCCAATGCTCCCAAGTGAGCACTTTCCAGAGGGTGTTATGAAGTCTAATGAAGTGGCAGGGTCAGAGGAGGTCCAGGGGTTAATTTGAGAGACTGCATTCTGTACGTTTATTACTTCTGGTTCACCAATGCAGGTGGCTCTGAAGGATTTTCAATAGACAATATGGACCATGGATGACCTCATAGCTACTGATTCTACAGGGACTGTAGGTCAACAGTAAGATCCCCAGACAAAGGATGGGGAACATGTAACATTAGTAAAGGTTGTTCCCTTGTTTCTCTTTTTTAAATAGAACATCACAAGCTGTATCCACAAACAACATCTGAGACTTCACCAAATCTGTACAGGCTGATCTGAAACAAACAAATCAGGGGAACAATGTCTACCAACTAACACTAATGACTTCTCTAACAATTTTTGGAGTACTGAATTGCCAGCTCCAAATGTTCAAAGAAAATAAACTGCGGTAATCAAGGTGAAACTTAATCAGTTATATTTAAAGCAATAATGCAAAAATGTCAATATTTAACTAAAAGTGATATAAAAACTATATCAAAATAAAATAAAACAAAACTGTGTTTGTTTTATATATATATATATATATATATATATATATAAAATTGTGAATAACTATAGTGGTGCTTTATACTTAACCTAAAGAACACTTAATGATTGTTTATACAATTAACAAACACTCATTCTTTTTTACGTTTAATTTATATTATATATAGTTGTCCTTGTGTTATAAACGCCTGCGCTACCTCCTGCACACTTTTCTCTAGGGGAGTTCCATCCTTAGATCTCCCTTAGAACAGATCACAAGGGTCTCAGATGTGATGTGGAAAGAGGGGGATGTATTTTGACAAGTGCGACACAGACAAAATGAGACAAGGCTGCCATCAGAGAGAATTTCTAAAACACAGATGTCTGAAATGATCCTATTTCTAATAGGGGAATGAACACAGATCATCAGAAAACTCACCCCCCTGCACATCTATGAAGCCAAAAACCTGCTCTAGGCTGTGCAGAAGAGAAAGGCAGAGGGAATTATTTGCACTTATTTCTCTCTCGCCCATGCCAACCCTGTCAAGATCTAGGAACGAGCTAGCCAAGATCAGGAGCAAAGTGCTGACTCCAGCAAAGGCACCTGGATTGGAGAATGTGTCTTCAGAAGTTCAGTGTCAAATAATCTGGAGACTGACAACAATTTGCTTTTTAATATTTCATTTATGAGATGCCACATTTCACTGGGGGCGTTAAGTATCTCCAAACCAGCTGTTCAAAAAATAAGCAAAGCTGGAGAAGCAATCAAATAAATTTGCTTTGTTTATCAACATAAATTGTTTATTTGATCCTAAATAAAGAGGAATTAGCTCACATGAAGGGACTACCTAAAAGTGGGTAAGTGGGTGGCTACTCTAAGCCATCAAACTTCTTTAATGAGAGCATCTTGTGAGGACATTCATAGGGACAAGCGGTCTGTGTATGGCATGGAAACGGGTCACAAGTATATCATGGTAGACAATTTCTCTTTGGTCAGGACATGATGGTCTGTACACACAGCTTTTGGAATCCTAGATACTGTGCTAATTGCTATGCGACTGGCCCAATTCTGATTTAAAAGGTAACAGATTTTAAGACAATATAGCTCTAAACACCATGAAGCAAGATTTATAAACGGCCAATGGAAAGAAACATATACCAGTCCTACAAGAATAAATACAGCAGTGAATTTATTGATGTCTTTCCCCAATACCCTTCAGAGCCAGTAATCAGATTTAACAAATAACCAATTATGACTAAAGGTTTAAAGGCCATTAAAAGAGATAGAACACTGTTGTAACTAGTACTATCAGCACTATAAGTGCTCTAGGTTCACATACCTGTAGTAAGTAAATTGTTGTGTGTAAGCGTCAACAGATGAAGGAACATAAAATCAGTTTGAAATATCAGTATCATGTAGAAGACTAAATTTGGAATGGATTGCGCTACACGTGTGTTCAGAGGAAGTATGATTATTCTTTGGCTTTCTGAGGGTTCCACTAAAGTAAAAATTCTTGCATTAGACAAAAACGCGGGGTGCGGTGCGGGGGCACAGACATACAGAGGGGCTGGCGAAAGAGACACACACAAAGGGGTTGGGGGACAACGAGATACACAGAGGTACTGGGGGGGGACAAAGAGACACACAGAGGTCCTGGGGGGGACAAAGACACACAGAGGTCCTGGGGACAAAGACACACAGAGGTCCTGGGGGACAAAGACACACAGAGGTCCTGGGGACAAAGACACACAGAGGTCCTGGGGACAAGACACACAGAGGTCCTGGGGGGACAGAGAGACACACAGAGGTCCTGGGGGGACAAAGAGACACACAGAGGTTCTGGGGGGGACGACAAAGAGACACACAGAGGTTCTGGGGGGACAAAGACACACAGAGGTTCTGGGGGGACAAAGAGACACACAGAGGTTCTGGGGGGAACAAAGAGTCACACAGAGGTTCTGGGGGGAACAAAGAGTCACACAGAGGTTCTGGGGGGAACAAAGAGTCACACAGAGGTTCTGGGGGGAACAAAGAGTCACACAGAAGTTCTGGGGGGAACAAAGAGTCACACAGAGGTTCTGGGGGGAACAAAGAGTCACACAGAGGTCCTGGGGGACAAAGAGACACACAAAGGTAGTAGGGGAAGAAAGAGACACACAAAAGTGCTGGGCCAGACAAAGAGACACACAGAGAGCGAAGGGAAATGAAACACACAAAAGGGGCTTGGGGTGAGATAGACTCACACAAAGCAGCTGGCGGGGGAAGGTGGGGAGGGGGAGAAGAGACACAAAAAGGGCCTGGAGAGAAAGAGACACAAAAAGGGGTTGGGGAAGGGAAAAAGAGACACACAAAAGGGTTGGAAGACAAAG